CCATGGCCCCTACTACTGCAAGGACTACGAGGGTGAGGCGCGTGTGGCTTGTGTGTGTTGTTGTGGGGGTGGGCCAAAGAGCCCACCCCCATTACAGCCCGTGAGGTGGTGCGCCCACTGAACCACGGATGTCATTGGGGGGCTGATAGCTTAGAAAAGACTTGGGAGCCGAGCGTGGGGATTCCATCTTGCAATGCTACCGAGCCTTTGCTACCCAGGGACAGGGACCAACTGTCAGAGGCAACCCGGTTTGTTTTCGCAACCCAGATGAATGCAAAGAAAAGGTTTTAAAAGTTGATGTCAGTGATTGAAGGCATGTTGTCTTTTTTGATTGTAAACAAGAACCCGCTCAAAAACGCAGATCAAGATCAAGATACCATTGGAAACCAAACAGACTGGCACTGATTGGCAACTAGTTTGCTCATGCCAAAGGTACAAGGGATTGCATTGCTGTGTGACCTCGACGGAGACAAACCCATCTCTAATTTCTGCGAGCCAAGGAGTGCATGTCTGTGGGGATTCACCTTCGTAGCCAGAAGCGCATGTCTTTTGTGATAGACGCATGCTATCACATGACTTGTGGAGACTTCGAGGACTTTCTCCATGTGGTGTCTGCTGATGGCGTGCAGATGCTGAGCAATAAAGGCGGGAGAACCTGACTGTCACGACGGTCAGAGATTGAGCAACTGCAACTACGTTCCCTGACTTAGGCACCAGAACACCATCACCATCGACCCTATCCCGGGCTCGGTACAAATTGGACGCATTCTTGATGCTGGTGCGACGCCAGCAGTGGAAGCTCTATGGGGAGGACTCTATGGTGATCTCGCTAGGTGCCAATAGCCATTGAGTTCTGAGTTCTGATTGCATTCAAATTTTGAACCAGTTGTGCATCTGTGATCATCAGTGCATCATGAAAGGCTGTGATTCTTTGAGGTCAATGGCAAATCAAAGCATGACATTCATACTTTGGTAGTCTAGGCAGCCTGCAGACTGCATGGTATGGATACTACTTCAAGACTTGACTTGACATATGTTATATGCGATTTGTGCAATGTGAGATGGTGATGTGCTGAAAAGATGTGTAAAATGTAAGTTTTTTGAATGTCAAAGATGCTTTCATCCAATGGCAGTTGGCAGGTTTTGACTCTTCACCCCAGGGAAAGGATTTCTTGCTGGTGGAAGAATTCTCAACTCAGCTCCTTGGCAACATGCGCAGCAGGCTGGCTCACTGGCTCACAGCTGACAGGTCACGAGAATCTTTTCACACGGTGATGTGCATGAGCAATTTATTCTTTCATCGGTGTAGCCGGTGTAGCATGAAATTCTTGACTTGGCACAGCTCAACTTCCTTTTTTTGTATCACGACGCATTGTTAGCTTTCTGAGTGAGGCTGAGGGATGCCTTGGAGGATTGGAAGTCCGAGAGAGACACCTCAGTGAAGACTGTGAGGCGGCCACTTCCCATGGTGTCGCTTGGGAAGGGTTGCTCGACTGAATATTCCTGAGGTTCGAGCAAATTGAGCAAAAACACGTCATTGCATCAATTGCATCATTACAGTAACAATGCATGTTCCTGTCATCCAGGTTGAGCGTTATATAAAGAATTTGGCAAGATGCAATGATGCAATGAACATTTTAGGTTTTTTGATGGAAAGCTAGTGGCAGTAAGTCTCCGTGGGACCGGAACTGGGAACCATGATCAGCATGATTTTGACTTTGCCCCGTCCTTGTAAAGGAAAGGAAAGTGGATACAACTGCAGACAGTAGCTGTAGCCGTAGCCTGTAATTCTACAATCTGCAGTGGCCCTGGCCTTGTGTTGGTTGGGTGTGACTGTTGACTGTTGACTCCTGACTCTCGGCCAAGTTTTGTGCAGGAGCAAGTGGCTTCACCAACAAGCTTGATGCGCTTTTGTGGATCTTACGGCTGGAAACCAATGATCTGGACTCCTATGCTCGCATGGTCGTCAGTCTGGTGAGTGACCAAGGCTAGTTGACTATTGACTATTGTACATTACTATCTTATAGTGCTGCTGCTAGACCAGGCAGTGAAGAGTTCCTTGATTCATAGATTGTGTGCAGTTGCAACTAGTTTCATGTCACACGGCTTCAGGCACAGAATGGAAGTTGGCAACAGCTTCGAAAGTCGACATGGCTGATGTGGAGAAGGATTGGGCCCGATTGTTGTTGGGCAATGAAGCTGACAGTGACAGCGACTGCGTGATCATCAATGAGCCCAATTTGCATCTTGGCTTTTCAGTCCTGTTGGTTATGGCAAGTTGCTGCAACCAGATCAGTGGCTGCCTGACGGCCTGACAGACAGTGCCACAATTTTGTTTCCCTTCCACCATTCAAGTTGAAGCTTTCCAGGTTGAAAATCGGTAGTCTATGGCCACCTCAACAACACCAGTAGCATGTGAGTTTTCAAAGCAGAGTGTTTCAGAGTCAAAAAAACTCGAGTTGAGTGAAGTTGAGTGGAACAAGGCAAGGGCGCCCGGACCCGCCCCATCCTGTGGTCAACGAGGGCGATTCATCACTGGGTGACACTGACCCCATCAACGGATCCAAACAGTTTCCGAACGCGCTGCGGGTGACTGGCTTGCTTCACATCAGTGACAACTGCCTAGGCAATATTTTGTCCCAGTGCGCTTGCTGGCCAACTTTGCTCCAAAGTCTTCGGACAGTAGAAACCCTGTTGGGAAGTCCGCTTTATCGTGAACGACTTTCATGGTCCTGCATCAGATCAGAGGACCAGCACAGGCTCAAGGCATGGAATGCAAGCCTGAAAGGCCTTCGGTGGCAAGCTGTGCTCAATTTTGTGCTGCAGCTCTTGCCTCTCTAAACCATGCTCAGGTAGCTTGGTTTGAGCAGAGCAAGCAACCTATCACAGAAATTGCAAAAGCAAACAAAAATTGAGTCGCTTGAGCTATTGGGGTTGGTCAAATTGAATTACCACTCCGCTGTTGGGTTTTGCATACATTGTTTTGGATGCGTACTTTGTTTGTATGCTTGCAGCGCGTTATACGTTAGATTGTCATTGTCATGGTCCTGCCTCTTCCTGCAACTGAGACATCACAATGCCACAATGCAGCATCCATGTCATTGCGGTTCCGTTATTAGAACTCAGAGATTGCCACTTGATACCGGATAATGTTGTATATTGTTTGGTTCCTTGATGGATTATTTGACTGGGGTGGCTATGGTTGTTGCATGTTGGCCATTATTGGCATCCTTTTCGAAATTCTTTGCCAACTTCAGGCAAAACTGGAACAAAGATGCTTTTATGGACAAGACTGAGAGGCAACCTGGTCAACGGGCCCATGCAAGTGAAACTGGTGACTCGAATTTGTGGAACATGATTTCTAGTTTTGATTTTTGCCATTAGACTTGTAAGTCCCCTCCCTGTCTGGATCTGGGGCAGGATAAACCAATTTTTTTGGTGACGTAGTTGGCACTGCTAGCTTTCTTGTTTGGATCTTCGGCCTTGCTTTCTCAGCACCAGGGAGCCTGATGGGTCAAATAGTGGGAAGTTATGGAACATGCGTTTTTTTTGAGCCATGTTGGGCCTATGTTGGACATACTTTGGGCCAAGTTGGGCCTTTGGTCCATGTTGGGCTCTTGGGGGCCGTGTTGGAGCCATCTTGAGCCTATGTTGTCTTCATGACTATGTCCCTTCTTAAGCGAAACTGAGGTCAAAATTGGGCCCACGTTGGGTCATTTGATGGGCTATGTGGGGTTCCATGGACGTCCTTTTTGGGGGGAAAAAAATCATCAACAGAAAACCCGGGCCGTGTGGGGGCCATGTTGGGGCCATGTTGGGGCTATGAGTGACCGTCGTGACCGTGTGACCCATGTTGGGCTGAAGTTGGTGCATGTTAGGCTCTTGGGACCATGTCGAGGCCATGTTGGGCCTATGATGTTGGGTTTATGTTGTTACGTACCCGTGGGTCTTACCTTCATTTACTATTTGATTTTGTTAACTTGGGCTAAAATGTTCAGGCTGGAATCAGCCGACGCGCTTATGCTCGAAGAGCTCAGATTCTGAAGGTTTTAGATTTTGCGCCCCGGGCCCCGGGTACAAAGTAATAATGACATGAACTAGGCTACTTAGGCTTGGAAAATTCATAACATTAGACTCATTAGACCATCATCAGCTGATCCAGTGGTCTAGCCAGCTGGTCGTTACCTTTACTACTGGGAATTTTCTTGATGTTCCAGGTGTCAGGACATTTGAGCCTTGAGCCTTGCACTTATCCGAGGTGAAACAACAAGCATTGAGTCCTTTGGCGTTGTTGTTAACAAACTGGATTCGATTTTGCAAGATCCATCCTTTTGGGGCCAGGCTCACATGATTGGAGACTTGCCTGCGGCAGCATCAATGGCATTTCCCAAATTGGAATTGCAATGGTATTGGACATTGCACTTGGTACCCACTGAGTATCCACCTATGTAAGCCAAACAATCACAATGACACAAGGTTGCCATGACTGCCATGACTGCACTTTGACTTGACATGCGCAATGCTTTGTCTGAGGAGACCTTGCGCAGGAAGCAAATGCTACAGGTGAATTTGCAGAAAGGTGTCCATGCCATTCCAACGACAATGAGGATGACCACGACAGCACAGACAGCGACCAACATTTTCAAAGGGAGATGAGGACACTTTGTCCAGGTCCTGTTCCAATCCCTTCTACATCCCATATCGTGGGTGCCGGGCTGCAGAATTTGCTTGTGGCAAAGGGCTGGCTTTCCAGAGCCAGGCTCTCATGCAGGATAGGGTTTCTTGATTCCAGCTTCATAAGCTTTGATGGGGGTTGTTTTCCTGCAGCTTCGAACTGTGTAGATTAAGCCAAGTAAGCCCACCACTTACTGACAGTGCTTGTCAAGTCTCAAATCATTTTTTCTTTTGAACAAGAAGGTGATTTTGACAACTGGTTGGACCACCCGGGGCTGGGCGGCTGGGCGTAGCTTAAGGAACGGATTCTGTATCATTGCAGTGGCATGGTGAATGAAGAGAGAGCTGCAATTCTTCAAGATTGGTTGGCAGCGCGAACACGTTTGTGGAGAAACTTGCATGCAAACACTTCATGCAGCATAACTCTGCATGTAATTCTAAATTCAGAGTTGTTGGCAGCTGGAGGTTGGAGGCTGTTGTGAAGTTGGAATTCATATTGTAATCAGTCAACCTTTCATTCTGAGGCGAGATTTTCAGCAAACTGAACTTCTGGCAACACCTTCCATGGCTTCTGTGCCCCTCAGCTGTCAGAGACTTGATGTCGACTGTCAAATTGACTTGCATCTGTAGGGGAGTGGTAAAGCCATACCATGCGGGTTTTTCTTTAAACATCTTAAACTTTTGGCTCTTCCCACTTCCCCCCTTATGCTTCTTGTTCAGGTGGATTGGCTTCCGAAAGCCCAGCCGATGTCCGGGATGTTGCTGCAAAAGCCTTGGCAGAGTATGATGCAATGCTGCATGTAGATGAGCCACCTCTCGCTCTTCAGCACCCAGTCACGAAAAGGTTTTGTGATCCTCAGTGGCGTGGTTTGGACGACGACGAAGTTCCCCTACGTCCTTATTTGGAGCGACTTGCTCAAGGTTTGGTGGAAGGGTCGGAGGGGGCCGGGACTGGGTGAGGTGATCAGGTGATGAATGTCGTGCCGTGCCAGTCAGTGGCTCACTGGCTTGTTTGATTTGCTCATAACATGCCATGCAATGTCGAAGTGTATGTATCGGTATCCACCTGCAGCCTGCAGGCGAACAGTTCGACACCTTCACAAGCGATGAGCTAACTTGCATTGGACGTTGGATCTGTCGATTTAGACATGTTCCTTGGCCATAGTAGTGCAAGGAGATCAGAAGCCTTTTGCGTTCAAACCCAACATCCAGTCATTTGAGAACAGTTTTGCGTCTCTTGTGTCAGTAACGTCAATGCCTGAGCATTGTCTTTCAACTCTTCAAGGCTGCTGCATGGCTGCTATAGTACACCATCATCTTAGGTTCGATGTGTTGAGCGGAGCACAGAGGGTCTACACAGCTTGGTAAAGCGAACACTTGGCAGAGCACCAAGAGCGTCAATGTCTTATCTTTCGCTGGAGTTGCGCTTCAGCCACCTGATGCATTGTGCCATCACAAGCCCGATCCTTTTCAAAGAATGCGAATCAAAACACAACGCCCTGCAGACCCTCTCTGGATTCCGGACGTCTGTGTGCCATTTGCTGGGCATTCCGGAGCGCCAGGCGCTGCTGCCCTTGAAAGACAGGCAACTCGCAGATCTCCTGTATCGTGATAATTTGATCCTTAAGCATTCAGCTTCCAACCATATCAAGAAGGCATTGTCTGACCAGCTCAACACCAAGCAGACAGCGACCGCACGTGACAAAGAAGATGCTCATGCCATCACCGTAGCTATCATCGACTTTCTGGTTGAGGCCAGTTGAGGCTGATAAGCTTGGACACATGAATGAATCTCTTGTTTTGTTTGATGTGGGCTCAACTCCCGACTTGAAAAAGGAATTTGTATGTGTGAAATTGTGAATTTACATGTCTCTGTTAGTATTGATGTTCAGCTATGTTTACCATAAGTCGGGAGTCGGGTAGTCTTTTTTGGTGGGATGGTGCAAAATATGTATGTATGCATTGGCAGTCAGTGGCCAGTGGCCAAAAGAACTTCAACACGACTAACACGACTATGTCAATGCACATGCCTGCTGGCTGGCTGACATTACAATCTTCATGGCCTTCTGATGGGATTCCTGTTCTTTACCGAAGCGAGATAAGTTCCAACTTTATTTTCGGCAAATTATTGCATACAATTGTCAACTGTTTCGGTTTCCGACTTCACTTCCAATACAATCCAAAATTTATCCCAGCTTCTTTTTCATGACTTTGATCTTTGAAGCCACCGGCCACCGCCCGCCGCCCGCCACCTCTTTATTTTGAAGTCACCGTCACCGTTCCACAGGTGTGTGACAGAGACAAACGCACATTGGTGTCTTTCCCGCGAGACTTCATCGAAGACCGCCTCCTGTCCTTGGAAGCAATATTTTCTGGCGAGGCCGAGGCACATCCCAATAGTCCAGAACGAGATATGGAGATGGTCGATGACAACTGCTTGTTCCCGACTCTTGCTGCTGCAGCTCCAGGACTCGGACCAGGGTCTTTTCATGTGAGCCAGCAGCAATTGGAGATGAATCTTCAGAATCGTTTTCAGACATATATATTCTATCGACCATACAGAAAACATAGCAAAGATGATATTGCATAGCAAAACTGTTGCACAGCCAAGATGTTGCATTGTGACATGATCATGGTGATGGGCTACTTCTACTTTGCTACGTTTCTGTGTTGTGGATCAGCGCTCCTTGACTTGGATTGCTTCAGGGCAGCAGGGGAACAAACAGTCGGCCGTACCTTGCATGGCAGCTGTCGCAACGCTTGATTCACAAAGCAGTATGTTCAGGATTGGGCGAAACATTTTTACCCACATGACCTTGGAACAGAGACCTGAAAGTTTTGAGGTCTTGGTACAGAGATACCAGGGAACGGGCCAACGCCAAGATGGCAAACAGGAGGTTGTGGCATCGGGAGACACCTTCGGTTGCAAACTTCGTGATGCAACTCCGGTCGATTTGGTGGCAAACATATCTCTGTGCAGCCTGGAAAACGTTGATATTCAATCAAAGGAGGATTCCAATTCCGATGCAAACTTGCTTTTGTTGCAGATGGTTGATAGCAAGGCATGGAGCTCTTGGGTCACACGAGTGCGCTCTTCAGGGCAACACAAATTTTGGATTCCTGATTCAGGGTCAGATCCTGCTTGCGTGCAACTTCGCAATGAAGGTTTGATCATTCCATCGGGGCCTGAGCCAGATCATTTTGTAATTTCAACCAAAGGCGCGAAAGCTTTGGAGGTGAAACTGCAGGTAGGTTCTACGATGTCATTGGAAGATTACCACAAGCAGTCTGGCTGCATGAATATCCAGCGCATTTTTCATTTGGGTCCTTTTGGTTTTCTTTTCGCACTTTTTGATTCAAGAGGAAAGACAAGTGACTCAGTATTGCCTTTAGAGTCAGAACTGGTTGTAAGTTTTGCTAGCATGTGCTGCCACAGCCCAGGCAAACATCCTCGCAGTTGCCAGTGGCGAAGCAATCTGGTTTTGAATTGTTTATGATGATGCTCCATTGTGGATGGAATGTGGCACATCTTGGACGGAATGACTACTATGCCTTGGACAAAGACAAAGAGTTTTGCATTGGAAACGCTGGCAGGGGTTTCCATCGAACATATTTGCTGGCCCTGCTTCAAGCTCAAGCACTTTTCCCTGCCGGGGTCAAAGCTATTTTCCATGGGCAGAGCAAAACATACTATGATACCATGCTTACCCTGGCTGAACGTGGAGAAAGTGCGCGGGAAGCGCTTGTGAATTTTGGGCCAAACAAATCAGCAGTTGAGTACAAAAATTTGTTGAGAACATTTGATAAAAAGCAACGAAAAAACGTTTTGGAAAAGGAGCAGCTGGATTCTCAGGGATTGGAGGACGCTGAAGATGAAGAGAGCATCATGAAAATTCTGCAGACAGATTTTTCGAAAGCTTCTGCCCAAAAAAAAGTGAGGTCTGCAAGTCGCAAAGTTCAATTTCCAGAGCTAAGACCACAAGGTGTCTTGAGCATTGACTCTTCTTCCGAAGATGATGCGGGTGGTGACGGTGTGAAGGATACTTCTGGACTAGCCCGAGCCCGAGCCCCACCTGGTGCTCGGGGTCATGGCAGTCGATTGGCTGAGGCTGTAGCTACCATCCAAGAATATCATCAACAAGCAGCAGAGCAAAAGCAGGTCAAAAGAGCTGAGAAAAATTCACGCTCGGTCACTAACCAATCTGCCGAAGCTGAAAATTTGGACATGGATTTGGACAGTGCCGGGGCCGGCGCCAAGCGAAGGCGCATGTTTCTCCACACAACGAGTGGCGCGGCTGAGATCAAACGGACTCCTGAGCAAGACAGTCAGCCTGCAGATGATCAGGAACCAAATGTGAAAGACAAATCCGCCACTGCCGATTTGAATGCACCAGCTGAGCCAGCTGGCCCTTCTGAACCAGCTCGGCATTTGGCGCCTGATCCTGATCCATCTTCGTCGAGTCGCCCAGCACCTGCGGAATCAGCTAACTCTTCCATGTCGAGTCACCCAGCACCTGCAGAATCAGCTCAGTCTTCCAGTGATCGTCCAGATCGACCAAGTTCAGTTGCTTCAGCTCCGCCTCCACCTGCTGTGCGTGCTCGGGACAGAGAAATACCATCTTCGTCGTCTTCAATGTTTAACTTGAGCACTGTGTGGCTGGGAGATATTCCATTGATCAAACGTCATGACAAGGACATAGAATCTTGAACATGCTTGGAAACTTTTGAATGGAGCAGACTAGAGACTCCAGTTCAGACATGTTTGTCACTTTGGCAGTGATTAGTCCATTGAGTCCATTGTCTCATTGCGTACCAGAGAAACACACTTCACACTTCACACGCACACGGTGGTGTGTCCCATGATGTCCCAAGACATTGGTCAGTCATGCATCATGAGGTGACAGTGGCATCAGACATCAATGATCAATCATCAATCCAGAATCCAGATTCCAGATCCACGTTATTACGAAAGCCAGCTAGCTGGCTAGTTGCTGTTTGCGAACCAGAGGAAATGGTGCAAAAACGATCGGAAACTGAAGGAGACGAGTAAAACTCTTGGAAAAATATATTGAAAATGCATGAAATGCAGGAAACGAGAGGAAATGGTACAAAAAGCCATAGAGGAAAACGGTGAAAATGGTAGGAAGCATGATGCATGTAATAAAAAAAACTTGACAAAACACAGTGAAAACCTACAAAAGAGAAGAAAGTAACCACAGGAAACGGTAGAACAAACAGTGGAAACTGGAAGAAAAGTTGTGACAATATTAGGAAAACGGTGTACCAGCTAGGAAATGCCTGTAACAACTAGAGGAAACGATGTAGAAAACAGTACAACATGGAGGACACGCGTGAACATGCTAGGAGGCATGTAACATGTTAGGAAAATACAAAATATAATGAAAACAAAGACAATGTCAACGAGCGGAAACGATGGAAAGACCAGTGGCGCGCAGGAAAATCTGCGAAAACGACGTTAAAACAGAGGAAAAGTGTTGGAACTTGGTGGACAAAAATATAGCAATTTACACACACAAGTCAAAAAGCAAGCGCTGGCTTTCGTTCCACCCCTTCTCAGGTAGGTGATGGCCGATGAACAAAGCAATATGGAATCTGGAACTAGAGCACTTTCGAATATTCTAGACAATTGGTAAGTATTCAAGATTATGATGGGCAAAGTCAAAGTATAGGTCAAAGCAGTTCTGATGACTGGTCTTCAATTTTTGATTGCGTTCTTGCAACCATGGTCATCCCTTGATGTTCCCACAGCCACAGCTGAGGATGCATACTATGTCACATGCCCACTCCATCGGAGCATACTCGAAAACGGCAACTGAACTTTGCTTATGCCTCCTCTCCTCTCATGAAGTTTTTATAGATGCAATGAATGCAATGCTGTCTACCGGTTTCATCAATGTTTTGCAAAGCTGGGGACAAGTTTGCCCTTTTCATACCAGCACACTTTGGCCAATCTGAGGCAAAGAGCGTAAATGTAAAAAGGAGATGTCGGTAGGGAGGCATCCTGAAGAAGTGGTCATCAGGATGATGGCATGGTGGGTGGCACAGGGTTTCTTGGAGCAGCGTTGAGTTTTTGTTGTCACTTGTGTTCCGATCACCAGCTCGAGCCAACAGTGTTGATGTAGACATCACACGTTAACACGTTGGATTTGGATCAGAGCGGAAACGTTTGTGGATGTAGTAGTAAGGTATTCACCCACATGATCACATGGCCCAAACGTATGCCACAGCGATAGCATGTGACTCGACTCAGCAAAGGATACAAGCTTGTCCGCAGACCTAACGAGACCGATGAGGAATTTCGCCGACGCCACGTATTGATGGTACCTTGCCCAGCACCATGATCAAAGTATTCCTTGAAAACTGAAGATGCATTTTTTATCCGATGCGCAATTTGTACCAGTAGCAGTGCTATGTGTGCTAGCCATTGAATGTGGAACACAACCTGTCAGCCTTCTGAACCTTTTTTTGGCAGGCACCGCCGAAGTCTGTGGATGAGCTGCCATCGCTGGATGAGTTGAAGGATGAGATCCAGCACTATAGCGCTTTGGGGGGAGGCATTTTGGCTGGCAGTTGAACTACACTGGTTACATTTAATTTTGATGTTGGATCTCAACTGATTCCAGATTGTTGTGATTCCACGTTGCCACTTGCAATGTTGTGCATGAACTGTTCTAGCAGATCTTGTGCGAAGCTAATTATGTTTTAGTCAGTTGTCTAGTTTTTCTTTTTTTTCTTGTTTTGTGAACAAAAGTATCAAACTTTATTTGTTTCGAAAAAAAATGAAAATGATGCCAAAAAAATTCATTCAAAAAAATAAATTTCTGAAAAAAAAATTAAATTCCTGAAAAAAAATAAATTCCTAAAAAAAAATAAGTTCCGAAAAAAAAGAACTTAATTTTTTAAATTCTTTTTTCAAAAAGTTCTACGCTTGAAAAGTAGTAAAAAAATAGCATTTTGCATGGTTTTTTGCTAGTTTTCTAGCGTAGAAAAAGCTGAATTTCATGAACTTCTACGCTAGAAAAGTAGTAAAAAAGTAGCTTTTTGCATGAATTTTTACTACTTTTCAAGCGTAGAACTTTTTGAAAAAAGAATTTAAAAAATTAAGTTCTTTTTTTTCGGAACTTAATTTTTTTTTAGGAATTTAATTTTTTTTCAGGAATTTAATTTTTTCTGAGGACTTGTTCTTTTTTTGTTTCAATTGAGTCTTTTTTTAATGTATTTTTTTTTAATTATTTTTTTTTCTGGATGGGTTCTCTGTGTTTTTCAATGGAGATATTCTGTCAACAAAAATAAGTTCCTTTTTTTCTGGAAATTAATTCTTTTTTATGAATTTTCATTTTACTCTTGGAAATCTTATTCTCAGAATTGAATGAAAATTATTATCAAAAAAATGGCGAGCGCTACCGCGTTGCGGGGGCCGACCCCTAATTGCAAGAGTTGCTCATTTCGTCTTGAAAAATTAAGTTCTTTTTTTTGGAACTTAATTTTTTCTGGACGATTTCCTTTTGTTTTTCAATTGAAATTTTTCTTTCAAAAAATTAAGTTCTTTTTTTTGGAACTTAATTTTTTTCTGGACGATTTCCTTTTGTTTTTCAATTGAGATTTTCTTTCAAAAAATTAAGTTCTTTTTTTTTGGAACTTAATTTTTTTCTGGACGAAATTCCTTTTGTGTTTCAATTGAAATTTTTCTTTCCAAAAATTAAGTTCTTTTTTTTGGAACTTAATTTTTTTCTGGACGATTTCCTTTTGTTTTTCAATTGATTTTCTTTCAAAAAATTAAGTTCTTTTTTTTTGGAACTTAATTTTTTTCTGGACGATTTCCTTTTGTTTTTCAATTGAGATTTTCTTTCAAAAAATTAAGTTCTTTTTTTTTGGAACTTAATTTTTTTCTGGACGATTTCCTTTTGTTTTTCAATTGAGATTTTCTTTCAAAAAATTAAGTTCTTTTTTTTGGAACTTAATTTTTTTCTGGACGATTTCCTTTTGTTTTTCAATTGAGATTTTCTTTCAAAAAAATTAAGTTCTTTTTTTTGGAACTTAATTTTTTTCTGGACGAATTCCTTGTGTTTTTCATTTGAGATTTTCTTCCAGGAAAAAAAATTGAATGAAAATGATTGCCAAAAAATTGGCGAGCGCTACCGCGTTGTGGGGGCCGACCCCTATTGCGAAAGTGCATTATTTCGGTTTGATTCACTGTGTAGTGGTTTGAAGGCAATTTTTTTCCGCGCCTCCGGCGCAAAACAGTCGTTCAGTTCTTGGTGGAAACACTTAAACTTGCAAGTGACATTACTGAAACAGGCGCAGGAACCCCTACGAAAATTTTCTCCGCGCCTCCGGCGCAATAAGGTCTTTGAGAACTCATAGGATTTCCATGTCCACTTAGGAAAAAAAAACATTTAATCTCACAGCGCCACAGCGCCAACACAAAGTGGTAGAGGGAATAAGGCAGGAAGACGTGGAAATCCAAATCTTGGGTTTGGTTGCGCCCTGGTAATTTTGCCATCTAAGAGGGGGGGGGCAGGGCGAACCACTTGCAGCGTGCAGTTTTTGAGTGGTTGAAAACACATGATTGACTTGGAATCTTGTAACTCAGGTGACTGATGCAGAGTTTCGACCAGCAGCTGCAGATGCCACATCCTACTTTGTTAATCATCTTGCGCCATGGATGCTGGAACAGGATTATGAAAATCAATCCAAAGGTATATATGTACAGTGACAGTGAAATCATCTGTTTGGACTGGACTTGGACTTGGATTCTGGACCTGGCAATGGCAGTATTTGCAATTAATTTTTGTTTTTTGAGTTGGAACAAAGTACAGCAGCGCATTGTGTCAGGACTGGATGCTTTGCACTGCTTGGCAGCTCGCAATCCGGGTTAAATGACCTGACATAGTCGTGCCGTGTGCAGGGAAAAAAGGATCCAGACCAGACCAGCATGCCTTCAGTGAGCAAGCTGATTAACTCTGGAGTAACAGTACCATCCAAGAAACCCATTGCAATCTGCACCAGAGACTCTCACACGCGCATTCACCAGTGCAGTGAAACCAGTGCAGTGAAACCCACATTGACTTGCCATTGGGCAGGCATTTGCATTTGTTTTCCAGTGCTCTTTCAGGCCGCTGGCACCAACATGTGATTTTGTATTTTCTTGGGCCGCTGGTGATTGCGGACTGGTGCCAACTCTTTCGATTCTTCTTTTTTTCTACGGAATGTTGTATCAATGGTGTCAATCTTTCTTTGCTGCCTGTGGCCTGTGGCCTGTGGCCCGTGGCCTGTTAATGTGAAGTCTGAACGAGAAGTGCTGGGCATCATTGGGGGAGTGACTTTTGATCTGAACGGCAGTTTGTCAACTTTTGTCTGCTGCAATTGAATCATGGTATGCTTGTTCATGATGGTGTGCAGGGCCGGCCGGCCCATAATAAGGCCTCAAATGCTGCCCTACTTCGCCTGCTGTATAGCTAACAAGGCCAGCCACCTAGAACCAGCTGACTTGGTGAATTTCTTTGTGATGCACTGTCAGGATCAAAATGCAGATTTATTGATTTGCTTCAGACATGTCAGAATCATTTTACAAATTTCAAAGAGCTCATTGCTCATTCATGCTAAGCCGGTTTTGGCTCAATTAATTTTGCCAATTTTGACGTTTGTCTGATGTCGTCGATTGGGTCATGGATGACTGGTGATGCG